TACATACTGCCCCCTGTTATACCCTCCACACTCCTCTCCTGCACATACTGCCTACTAATACACCTCTTTAGCATTGTTTGCTATATCACAATCATTTCTTGTTCTAAAACAGCCACGTTACATTGATTTAAAATCAATGAGTAAAATCTTAGGCAAAAACAATAAACAGATTACAAAGGGAGGGAGCACAATAGAGAAAATCTCAGACATGATGATTAGAAAACAGTATATCAAGAAAACAAAACATACAAAAGAAAAAATAAAACCAAGGCCTGGGACACGGAGCCAGGACCTGGGGCACGGAGCCAGGACCTGGGGCACGGAGCCAGGACCTGGGGCACGGAGCCAGGACCTGGGGCACGGAGCCAGGACCTGGGACCAGTAAACAAGGAGGAAGTGGAGATCCAACAAGCAGCAGTAGGGTAGAGGAAACACTTTACACCTCTTGTGGACAAATATTGCGTTGTGCACTCATATACACACACACACACCCGCCCAGGTACACATAGACACAAAGTCTTACCTGGAGTCGAGGTTGGCTATGGTTGTCCTCCCAAAGCTGTATGCATTGTTTTCTGTGGAAAAAGATGGAGTCCTGTTGGTCAGTGTTATACATATAGACAACATGTGAGCTCCGGGTGTCGTTATACGTGATTAAAGCGCAGAGATTGGCGAAGTAGGCCAATGGTGGGTCATGTGATATCCTGTATGACACTACAGAGGCCATATTGGTGTGCACTCACCTTCTGTCAGTATCAGCTGCTCATTCAGTCACTCCTATGTATGTCACATGATCTACACCTGCACCCCGTCTAGTGGGCTCTTCCTGTTTTGTTTTTTTACTGCTATGAATCAAATATCACAAAGTCCAAAGCCTACCGTGAGGATGTACATCCAGGAGAAGGAAAAGCTCATTGAATTAACCAACTAATTTACATTTAAAAAAATTAAATCCAACAACACCCATTGTGACTATGGTGAGTGTTATAGCTAGGGAAAGGTCAGGGCTTCACAGTTCTGTAGATTTAAGTGATGTCTTCTGTATGAGGTGACCTTCCAATCTGTGGAGTTCTGGCCGCCAGAGACGGTAATCAGCCTCCGCTGAAAGTCTGTGCCACGTGACCCTTGGCTGTCATATGCGAGTGGCTGGGGGTACTGACAGGGGTTGTAGATGTTGTCCCCCCTCCCTCATCCCAGTGACCACAATGCGTCTTTATGCAGGCTCGTCTCTTACCTAGCAGGTCTCCTGAGAAGTTGACCGGCAGCACAATGCCAACTGACAGCACGCCGACTACCACCAACAGGCCAATGATGTGGCGCTGGAAGGACAGGTAATGGACAGCATCTGCACCACATTTATCGAGGATCTCGTCATCTCTGTAGAGAAAACACAGACGGCTGTCACTGAAGGATGGAGGCAGAAATCCTCATAATCAACATATACTCCTGACCATCACACATGTATGAGTTTGTTGGGCATCCCATTCAAAAACCATGGCCATTAATATGGGGTTGGACCCCCTCTGCAACGATACCAAACTCCACTCTTCTAGGAAGGCTTTCCACAGTCATGCTGGGACAGAAAAGGACCTTCCCCAAATGGTCACCACAAGGCTGGATGTGCACAACTGCCTACAATATCTTTTTGGCAATATAGTGAATAGAGTCTGTGTGTATGTGTATGTGTATGTGTGTATATATATATATATATATATATAGCTTAGTGTAGCCATGTGATCAGATAAAAGTTCTTTTGTATATACTTTTTTTATTTAGATCTGTACATGGAGAGCAGCCATATTGCATCCGTGTCCTATGCAGGCGCTGCGTCCCACTTTGTAGCGCTACACAGTTCTTCTATCATGCCTGCGCATATCTATGGGTCAGCTAAACAAGCTATGTGAGGCCAAGTGAGCTTATCCCAGCAGATAATATTTTACTTTTAGGGTAAACTGACAGGTTTACTTATAAGAAAAACCCAACTTGCTTATCTTCACATTCACCACGCTCCCATAAATGCCAATAATACATTCTGTCGTTGATTTTGTTGTCTTGGATCAGAGAATCAGCCAAGTTAAAAAAACATCTATATCTAGAGCTACCTATACTACCTCTGTTATAGCAAACACTGACTTCTGTTATCAACTCTAAATGTTGTAGAATATGATAAGTAATGGAGATATTGTCAGAGAATTTGGGTTCCCTTGCTTGGATAAAAGCTGTGGGTCAGGCTTTGATCTGTTCCACACTTTTTAAAGCCCCCCTCCTCTGATCATATGTGAAGCCATAAGGAGATTGTTCGTGGAAGGGGTCCACTATTGCATCAGTCTCCCGCCCTCGGGGCTCCCCATACCACATCCTCTATAATGAAGAACATTTATTGATAGGCGACAGGACAGGAGCTCACTTTATCCGGAAGATCGCAGTCAGCCAGGAGCAGAAACCCTGCAAAGGAAACACAGAAGATTTTGTACAACTGGACTGCAAAACAATCATTATCAATAATCATTATCAATAATCGCAGTATCATCAGACCCAATTTGTATCAATGATCACTCCTAAAGTTGGCATGGCGAGTCTGAAGGGCCCATACAAATGTCAGGCACCAGAGACAGAACTGAGTGCTGGTGCTCATTTGCTGGAATCAGCACTAGTGACACTAGGGTTGCCACCTGTCCAGGATTCACCCGGACAGTCCGGGTTTTGAATGCTGTGTTCGGGTTTCATGGCAGCAGAAACCTGGCACAAGATGTCAGGCACACAGGAGAAACCAAAATTAAGATAGGGGCTACTGGCCCCCCACTGAAAATAGTCTCAACTGTGATATTTACATATGAAGGGGTGGCACTATTTACATATGTAAAAGCCGCAACTCATTCTTCCAAGAAAATTTCCGTGTGTCGCTAGAGTGTTCGGGTTTTGATGGAAGAAAAAGTGGCAACCCTAAGTGACGCTCAGGTCAGTCATATTGTCACTGAATGTCCTCTCCGGAGGATGATGCAAAGTATAGGTAGATGGAAACCCAAATCACTAAACTCTCATATGAGCTTTAAAATGTCCATCTCATTTCAAAAGTATTTTTCTTTCTGCAAGTCTGCAGCTTCCTGTTATAGGGTGACAATGCTCGGCCCCTGTCTTCCCATTGTGCTGGGATTGTAGTTATATCACCTCAAAGGACTGGCCCCCATTTGGCCTGTTAGGTCTTATTCAGATAGGCAAATGATGGAGGCAATTGCACTCAGTGTTATGGCCACATGCAAACTGACGATTAGCTGTGGCCAGTTTGTGTGCGCCCAAAAAGTCCGTCCCAGCGCCATACCTGGACACACAATGTTTGCACCAGGGTAAGTCCCCACACAGCTCCCTCCTCATGCATCACTGGACCCTCCCTTTTAGATTGTAAGCCCTCGGCCAGGGAGTGTGTATAGCGGCACTTTTATATTCACAGCCTCTGCTGTCCTCCCGCTGACTGACACTGCTGCGCTAGGAGGAGGCTGAGGAGCCTCTCACCTAGCGCAGCAGAAGTAGATGCTGCGACCTCCTCAACAGTGAGTTGCGACCCACAGGTTGAGAACCGCTGCATTAACAGTTCCATGCGATACCACGGTATCAAAAGTCAACGCCGGTGACTAATTTCTACTTACGTTCATACCCATTCACCTTCCAGAGACTCCCCCATTACTACAGTTACAAATGAGCCGTACTCACATTGTCTCTTTGGTCAAAGTCCACCGAGCTGGACACGGAGGTCAGACGCTCGTAGCGGTCATGGCTCTCGGAGTGCATTGCGGAGGCCACACTAGAGCAAGCAACAAAAGACAGATGTCACCAAGAGACACAATAGTGCGTGCTGAAAAGAAAGGGTTAATCACTCATAGAACACCAGGTTAATTATAACCAGATCCCTGTTCAGGAAGGAGCCCCGCTGTATGATGTCATATATATATATATATAGATTATATACATTGGATACCTGCCGAGTGAGAGAGCACGAGAGAGAAAGACACTGCATGCAACCAGAGATCGGGTTAGAGAGAACCGCAGCTGCGGAAAAATCCATTTTTATTAGTGAGCAAAGCAACACACAGACACAGAACATACTATTCTCGCTCCACCCGGAAACTCTGCATCCGCCTCTGCCTGGGTACAGGAACACAAAACACAAGACACGTTACATGGCACGATGACCAAAAGAAGAACATGGCACGATGAGCAACACAAGAACATGGCGCGTCCTTAAGTGAGAGTCACCCTGACTGCGAGGAGGAGGATAAAATGGGGTAAACAGATATGCTATATGGACAAAAGTATGTGGACCCCCCCTCCAAATGGGGACAGGCTGCCAATACTACAGCACACAGAGACATTTCAGATCATTATGTGCTTGCAACCTTAAGCCAACAGTTTGGTGAAGGACCTTTCCTGCTTTAGCATGACTGCACCCCGTGTACAAAGGCAGCTCCATAAAAGACATGGCTGGGCCAGTTTGGTGTGGAGGAACTCGAGTAACCTGCACTGAGCCCTCAACCCTACAGAACACCATTGGGTTGAATTGGAACGCTGACTAACATCCAGGTCTTCTCACCGAACATCAGTACCTGATCTCACAGGTGGGCACAAATTCCCACAGACATGCTCCAAAATCTTGTAGAAAGCCTTCCTAGAAGAGCGGAGGATGCTATAGCCGCAAAGGGAAGGGTGCAACTCCATATTAATGGCCGTGGTTTTGGAATGTGATGTTCCACGAGTTTGTTTGTTGGAGCTACAAAAGGGGGTCAAGGTCTATATCAATGTGGACCTTGTACTACATGCAAGGTCCACTGTTTAACTTTGCAGCGGGTAAGGTAGGTATCAGAAAACAATTGATACCCGCCTTCTCTCCAGGTTGGTCCAGGGTGACATCATCATCATCTGATCACCTCTACGTCTAAGCCCTGTTAGGGTGGAAAGCGTAGGGAGGGTCTGGGTGGATCTTCTGTACCGGAACAATAAAGTTGAATTCAGCTGATTTAATCGTGCGGTCTGACTCTGTACAAGTGGGGACGCGCTCCATTTGGCTGGCACCCACACCTACAAACATTGGCAGACACAGGACTAAGGAGCAGCGGTGCTTCTTCTAAATACCTTGAGGTCCTTGATTATGGCGAGCACTGCAAATCACATTGCTGGCAGCGTCGGGATTTGGAGTGCTCCACATTCCTCAAATCTAGCTGGACGGAGCATGGCGGCACTTTCACCTAGAAGTTGAAGAGACGTCGCTAGCACTCCACTGAGGGTGAAATAACCGGCTCAACTGCATCCACCAAAGCATCACATAGGTAAACAATCCATGTTCCAATTCACTGCTGCAGTGTAAGTTGACCTCCCCGGCTCTCCAGCTTCGTTTGTCCGGCGGGGTATCACAATGGCTGGTGTTGGTTATTATACGAGATGGTACCGGAAGAACTTCTCCGCATGACTCAATGTCTCTAATGTTGTTGGCAGATAGAAGCAACAAAAAGGCAGCACACATATAACACAAGTAAGCGGAACACAATGTGATGGACTCACCTGTCGGCATCAGTGACAAGCGCCAACCGCCCATAGTCCCAGGCCACTTTCCTCAGGAAAGAGAAGACGAAGAGTAGGGCCTGGGGGAGACACAAGATGGGGTTATAAGGAGACAATAAGGAGCTCTGTACACGGAGACGATCCAGACTCTAATACACAGTGAGGTTTCATGTCTCCTCTACTAACCATTCCCCTTAGGAGACATGTATGCCCTTCACATGAGCCCCACAGTGAGGGATATATGACGCTCAGCAAAGAATTATCACCATTTTGTGAAAACGGATACCTACAGGCAGGGCCTTGCCGGGGGCAAATGCTGGCTGAGGCAGCCATTTCCACTGCAGCAACGATGGCCACCTTGGGCGGCCGTAGGCTATGTGACGCGGAACCTGATAAAAGTGCAGGCTCAGCGTCACTGAGTAAAAGTCTGGGTCTTGGTCACACGGGCAGATGCAGTGATTGGTAGCCCTGTGCTCAGCGATGATGAACCTGCACTGTTAACAGGCTCTGCGTCACTGAAGAAGCTCAGCCGCTGAGCCTGGCTGTGTCACATGCAACATGGCCAGGCGCAGACTTTAAGTCAGGGATGCTGAGCCTGCGCTTTTATCAGGCTCCGCGTCACCGAGCTGACTGCCTACTGCCGCCCAAGGTGGCCATTGTTGCCGCAGTGGAAATGGCTGCCTCAGCCAGCATTTGCCCCCGGCAAGGCCCTGCCTGTAGGTATCCGTTTTCAGAGCCGCTGATCTGCACTGAGGGAACAGTGTCCGGTTGGAGATTCCGACCTCTGTGCCAACCCACACCGTGTCTCCCCCATTGCCACCCAAGGCAGCCGCTTTAGTTGGTCCTCATTGGCGACACAGCCCTGTATGCAGGAGATTTTTCAGACAGGGGTCACTTTATGACAGACATAATGGCAGGACAGCAGAACTGTCAATTTACTAATACCCACTATCCTCCAATCTCGCTTTTGCTTGTTTAGGACTATGCAGGCTCTTGAAGACACTTTCTGCTCAGTACATTTTTGCACATTTATTGCTACACAGGAAATGCAAACTCAGCTGCCCCCAGCTATCTCAAGAATACTTCTAAATAGAGGTTAAAAAAAATGTCAGGCCAAAACCGAAAATGTTATTTTATTATTTTTATAATCTTCTTAATTTTTTTATATTCATTTTTATTAAATATTTTTATTTTTTACTTTACTTTTAGGGGCTTTGGGGAAATATTAGGGGTCTCTAAACAGACCCCTGATATTTTCCTTTTAAAATAGAAAAAGAGATTGAGAACACAGAGTCCTCAATCTCTCTCTTTCTGTGTCCCCTGTTATCAATGAACAGGAATGCTCTATACTGAGCTGAGGACAGAGTGTGTTTACTATAACCACAATCATGAATGAACAGGAAGTGATGTAGATGGGATGTAGATCACTTCCCATTCATTCATAATTGAGGATATAGTAACCATGCCATGTCCTCGATTATCTATAAACACTCAGCGATCACTGAGCACTGACTGCTTGTACCCGCTCTCCTCTCATGGCACGCTGTCACAGGAGGCTGAGCGAGCGGTGCAGGGAAGAGAGCTCAGCCTCCTGTGACAGCCCGGGCTGTCTCCGCCCACAGCGCTCTCCTCCCGCATGTGGGAGGAGAGACGCCGGCCACTCACAGCGCTCTCCTCCCGCAGCGCTCGGCTGCCTGTGACAGTTTCTTTCCTCCCCGCTGGGACACAGAGCAGCGCCCAGCGGGGAGGAGAGAACACACAGATGCACCCCTGTATCGGCCAGAAAATGGCACTTTTGGCATTTAGCCCACTTTAGCGATATATTTCGGTGGCCGATATATCGGTGCATCCCTACTTCTAATCCTGTTGTATAGGATTGTTTTTTAATTGTAGTGTTTCCCCATATGTTGTGAAGTGCTGTGCACACTGTTGGTGCCATATAAATCATAAATAATAATAACAAATAAAGAAGATAACAGAGAAAATTCGAGTGCCGTGCCTCAGCTTGGCCACAAGAGGGCAGCAGCATTGTTTTAATGTCCAGTAAGGACAGGCATGGATGGAACCTGCAGGACACACAGTCTGTATCCCTCTGAAAGTTTCTATATTAAATATAACCCAATCCTCACCCGGCTCACTGGAGATTTCACATACAGCCATTTACATCACAATATTATTGAACAAATAATTTGAATCATCTAAAAGGTGAACTCCTAGGACAAGGAGACAAAGTTATGTATTGCAGTCAACCGATTACCGGCTCCTCTCCTGGACTGAAAAGGCTTCCTCTGATATCACTACACACTGGGAGCTTCTCATGATGTGCATTAGAAACTGCAGCAAGTCAGATAGAGCCCGCCTCATTTCCTGGCTGGAGAATGTCCAACATCATCCAGCACTTTACTCCCTGGCCTGACTGTCCCTGGCCCCGCCCCTTTCATTCATTGGATACAGAGGATGATTGTGTTGATATAATAATTCTTGTGTTTGAAGATGGCTTTACAAGCCAGAAAACTTAAACTGGCAGAATGGTTTGCAGATCCCAGTTGAGCTCTTGGGGGATAGCAAGAACAAGCCAAAGGTTATATTTCTAACTTGCTTGATTTGATATATAAAAAGGAATCTGCAGTGTGCTAAGGAGAATTCATCCTTTTAAGTTTTAAAAAGCTGAAAAAACTGGCTAAGGGGCTTGGATTTTAATCTGTTGTACCGGTCTGTCCATAACTAAATCCCTTCAGGTAGCAGTATTCTCTTCTTCCCCGATTCTGATCCTTGGGAGTATGCAGCTAGTAATATTTGTAGTTCTAGCTCCGCCCTCTCATCCCACTGCGGCACCACTCATTGTCATGGACTGGGGTCCGTATCCACAGAGAGCGAGACAGTTCAGGAGATTTCAGGAGCGTACCTGAGGCTGTGCTGGGACAGGTATCATGGAGGCGCATTGGGTAACACAAGGTTACTGGGTGGCACAGAATTTTCTGGGGTCCCCGGGTGACACGGCTGCTCTGGGGTCCCTGGGTGACACGGCTGAGGTCCATATCCACAGTCCAGGAGATTACAGGAGCGTACCTGAGGCTGCACTGAGACAGGTATCATGGAGGCGCACTGGGTAACACAAGGTTACTGAGTGGCACAGAATTTTCTGCGGTCACTTGCTACACTGTGGTCCCTGGGTGACACGGCTGAGGTCCATGTCCACAGAGGGAGAGAGAGAGACAGTCCAGGAGATTACAGGAGCGTATTGGAGGCTGCATGGAAACAGGCATCATGGAGGTGCACAAGGCACACTGGGTGACACGGCTGTCCTGTGCTGTCCTGGGGGGGTCACTGGGTGACACGGCTGTCCTGGGGGGGTCACTGGGTGACACGGCTGTCCTGGGGGGGTCACTGGGTGACACGGCTGTCCTGGGGGGGTCACTGGGTGACACGGCTGTCCTGGGGGGGTCACTGGGTGACACGGCTGTCCTGGGGGGGTCACTGGGTGACACGGCTGTCCTGGGGGGGTCACTGGGTGACACGGCTGCTTAAGTGCACTTTGGGGGTCACAGCGTGCACAGAGGAGCGCTGGGGGTATGTGGACACAGGCAGCAAGGGGAGCTTGGAGGATACATCACTGAGAGCACGGGTAAGACTATAGCAGGAGAGGTCTTCAGTGGAGAATGACACCCACCCACATAAAACCATGAGAAGGAGGTTGCACGCCACAGAATCATGTGACAAGAGTGTCCAGTTCTAATCTTCGCAGAGTCTGTCTGAATTGGATTATCTAACATTTCATAGAATACTGAGCAAACTTCCTGACACAAGTCCAGTTGCCGTGTTCCCCTTCCCGTTTTACAGACTCACACCCACCAGTGCACGGCACTGCGCCGCCAACTTACCAGGAAGCACATGAAGTCCAGAGCCAGCACAGTCGGCACGCCGCCGAACGGCAGGCCCTGCAGGACGGTGCTGCGGATGCGTGCGGTGTAGCAGTAGTCTCTAGCTCCTGTAATGGTTTCATTGCACTGACCTCCGGCACAGGAGGAGGAGGCTGAGGTGGTGCCCATGGAGACCAGCGTGCCCAGGAAGAAGGGGGTCATGGTTCCTTTATCATTATCCGGCCTGTGAGAGAAAACACAAAGATACAAATCAGTAACATCGTGGACCCAATATGACCAGAACGCTGCCGACGAGACTGAAACCAACATTCAACTGATGCCTAAAGCTATACCCCGGGGACTAAAGTTTTCCTATAAATCTAATCTTCAGTAGCCACAAAGGATGTAAATCCCCTCTGTGTGCACCAAGTGCCTATGTAAACCCAGATATGTCCTTGCAAAATGAGGAGTGACATCATCACTGTGCTGCACATAGACCGTGCAAAGAGTAGAACGATGGTAGGAGCCCAGGAGACCCCATCCACTATAGGAAACTACAGGAGGGGGCGGAGACGAGACCAGTCACCCTGCACTGGGAGAGAGAGCGCATCAGTGACCGGTCATTATTACAGGAGGGGGCGGAGACGAGACCAGTCACCCTGCACTGGGAGAGAGAGCGCATCAGTGACCGGTCATTATTACAGGAGGGGGCGGAGACAAGACCAGTCACCCTGCACAAGGAGCGAGATCAGTGAGCGGTCTTTATTACAGGAGGGGGCGGAGACAAGACCAGCCACCCTGCACTAGGAGAGAGAGCGCATCAGTGACCGGTCTTTATTACAGGAGGGGGCGGAGACGAGACCAGTCACCCTGCACTAGGAGAGAGAGGAGCAGTGAGCGGTCTTTATTACAGGAGGGGGCGGAGACAAGACCAGTCACCCTGCACAAGGAGAGAGAGGCTTTTAGATGTAAATAACATACATAATAATACAAATGAAAATAAAGAATATTCCCCAACATACTCCGCATATGTGAAGCAGCAGGATGGTGATGACAGGGCAGAAGAAGAGGGAGGTAAATGGACAGTGAACTTGGGAAGTCTCCTTTAATGTATGGCAATGTCCAACACAGGGGTAGGCAACCTCGGCCCTCCAGTTGTGGTGGAACTACAAGTCCCATGAAGAATTGTGAAATTCTGACAGCTACAGGCGTGACTCCCAGAGGCAGATGCATTATGGGAATGGTAGTTCCGCCACAGCCGGAATGCCAAGGTTGGTTGCCCCTGCTCTAACATTAGATATAATCGATTATGTCGATTAGTTGTTGCAGCCCTATCTAACATATTACTATTTAATGTCCCCGATTCTGAATTACCCAACATGACTAACGTCCTCCATGTGCAAAATAAAGTATTTGTATTATTCTGTGCAAAGTGTAATCCGTAACCTGCCCCAGGAGCTCGGAATACTGCAGAGAAGAAGAGTACGAGAGCGAGAGAGAGTGAGAGGACGATTGCCGATGACGGGGGTCATGTGTGTTTCTGTACAGAGGAGCTGACACTCTAACAAGGAAGGGCAATATAGACATTTGTAGAGAACAGCTTTCAGTCACACATGCTGTTGAATATGTAAAGGAATCAGAACAAACTAGGGGGCGATCATTTCCAACGCACGGAGGACTTCCTGTCTAATCATCTGCTGTCACCGATAAGCCTCTCTATCTGATGAAGCAACGGACGGCACAGCAATGATAATCTCCTTTATAGTTGCAGGTCTGGGAACACGTGTCAGTGGGATCTGGTAGAATAATGTTCTCTCCTCTCCGCTGTCTGTGATCACGTTTTTTGTACTCACTGTAAATATCTTATTTGGAGACCATTGAGAGACACAGGAAGTCTTTAACCTTTGGGTTATACTGCCGCTAACGGGAGAAATGAACACGGGGGGGTTTAACATGGGCCCAAGAAACACTTCCCACTACCAGCGTGCCTCAGTTTTGTACCACAGCTGGACCAAGACCATGAGACCCGTGTCCCTCAATGGACTCCAAGAAAAGGATTTAAAGGAGAAGTATGGGGTCAGTGTTTTTCCCCATAGTTCTCCTTAGGGTAACGGGAGGACACAAACTAGCGTCCTCCCGTTACCCTAAGCTCAGTATAGCGCTAGCTACAGCTCCCTATATACTGAGACGCCGCAGCAGATCCCGACATCGATGTCGAGATCCGTCCAGCTGCGTGAGTGACAGCTGGCTCTGCTTATCTAGAGGCAGAACCAGCTGTAACCGCCCCCTCCCCCGTCCGTTCCGCCAGTCAGCGCTGGCGGATCGGAGGGGGGAGGGGGGAATCCAGCCCCTCCCCTGTAACGGCAGAGAGCCGTGACAGAATCGAGAGGTGAGAGAACGCCGGTATGTGTTCTCTCACCTCCCGATCTACTGAGCCGACCTGTGACAGTCTCATTGTCACAGGTCGGCTAGAACTATGAGGTGAGTGAAAAGCGCTCAGCCTCATAGTTTGGGGCGACGTGTGACAATGAAACTGTCACACATCGGCTCTATAGATCGGGAAGTGAATGAACACATACCGTCGCTCACTCACTTCCCGATCCTGTCACTGCAGTGAGCCGTGACTGTCACTCACGGCTCCCTGCAGGGATTCCTCTCCTCCCCTGTCCGATCCTCCAGCGCTGACTGGCGGAACGGACGGGGGAGGGGGCGGGTACAGCTGGCTGTGCCTCTAGATGGGCAGAGCCAGCTGTTAATCACGCAGCTGGGTGGATCTCCTTTTTTCACCTTCAGGACGTCCAACTGAGGTGCCGGCAACGCAGCAAAGAAATGCCAACAGGAGAACTAGAGACTGCCTTCAGCTCCAAGGTGCCTGAAGGACCTTACTCCCGAGGCTGGCATCAGATGAGGCCACAATGTCCCAATGGTAGAACATGGAGAAAGTGGGAGCAGAAGGCCGGGCGGGAGCCTTGAAAACCCCCAGAAGTACTTGCGGGTCTAGCAGGGTGCGCTTTGACCGGAAAGGGGGGAGGGGACCGGATCCTTGAAACCATCAGCTTGGACGATGTTGTACTTGAGTCACCTGGAGAAGCCGGTGCACACTTATTGCTCCATGGAGCAGAGGGGGAGCGAGGCTGAAGGGAGCGGTGCAAGAGCAAGCCGGGATCGTGGTTTGGGTGAGTATAACTTAGTTTTATCTAGGAAGCTAAAATAACGAGCACTTAACCCTTCCAATGCGGGGGGTGCTCTACTGCAAGGGTTAAGATATGAATTGACCGGAATTCTGCTTTAAGTACCAGACCTGGTGGGTGGGGCAGGAGCAAATCTTGAGGGGTTTCAACATGGGAATCAAGGGAGTGAAGAAATGAAAGGGATGTTTCTTAACGGATAAGAAGACTTTGCAGTCCGATCCTTGGGCTTCTTTCACTGAGGAGGAGGTATAGGAGAAGTCTCGCAAAAGGAGAGAGGTCTCGCAGAGGAGAGAAGCCTCGCAGAGGAGAGAGGCCTCGCAGAGGAGAGAGGCCTCGCAGAGGAGAGAGGCCTCGCAGAGGAGAGAGGTCTCGCAGAGGAGAGAGGTCTCGCAGAGGAGAGAGGTCTCGCAGAGGAGAGAGGCCTCGCAGAGGAGAGAGGCCTCGCAGAGGAGAGAAGCTTCGCAGAGGAGAGAGGTCTCGCAGAGCAGAGAGGTCTCGCAGAGCAGAGAGGTCTCGCAGAGGAGAGAGGTCTCGCAGAGGAGAGAGGTCTCGCAGAGGAGAGAAGCCTCGCAGAGAGAGGCCTCGCAGAGGAGTGAAGTCTCACAGAGAGATGTCTCGCAGAGGAGAGAAGCCTCGCAGAGAGAGGTCTCGCAGAGGAGAGAAGTCTCGCAGAGGAGTATCTTGTGATGTCCACCCTCCTAGGATACTAGAACAACTGAGGCATGCCGGTGGTGGCCGGGCTTGTCCTGGGTGTTTCCAGTGCTCTGTTCTTCTGTAGGTGGCACTATATCCTAAAGTATAAGACTTCCTGTGTCCCTCGATGGAAGAGAGAGACAACCTCCTGCAATGCTCATGGTACGGAGTGCGAGCAGTTGGCGGAGGGAGTTGATGTCACACCTCAGACTGGAAGTTCATTGAACTTGGTAAGATGAGAAGCAATAAGAGTTCCAGGTCTCTGATACACACAGATAACAGGAAGTCTCCCTGTGACCCGGAGCTCCAGCTGATGCCGTATACCCATCGCCGTATACCCGCCGCAAGACTCAACTTCCCACAATCTGCCCTGACTCATCATCATCATCACTACAGATCATCACTGAATGCGAGAGACAGTTCTGGGAAACGGAAACTAAAGAAGGATGGATGGAGGGAAGGAAAGAAGAGAGGGCAGACGGAGGGAAGGAAAAAAAAAAGAGAGGTCAGACGGAGGGAAGGGAAAGAGAGGGCAGACAGAGGGAAGGAAAAGAGAGGGCAGACGGAGGGAAGGAAAGAGAGAAAGAGCAGACGGAGGGAAGGAAAAGAGAGGGCAGATAGAGGGAAGGAAAGAGAGGGCAGACGGAGGGAAGGAAAGAGAGAAAGAGCAGACGGAGGGAAGGAAAAGAGAGGGCAGATAGAGGGAAGGAAAGAGAGGGCAGACGGAGGGAAGGAAAGAGAGAAAGAGCAGACGGAGGGAAGGAAAAGAGAGGGCAGATAGAGGGAAGGAAAGAGAGGGCAGACGGAGGGAAGGAAAGAGAGAAAGAGCAGACGGAGGGAAGGAAAAGAGAGGGCAGATAGAGGGAAGGAAAGAGAGGGCAGACGGAGGGAAGGAAAGAGAGAAAGAGCAGACGGAGGGAAGGAAAAGAGAGGGCAGATAGAGGGAAGGAAAGAGAGGGCAGACGGAGGGAAGGAAAGAGAGAAAGAGCAGACGGAGGGAAGGAAAAGAGAGGGCAGATAGAGGGAAGGAAAGAGAGGGCAGACGGAGGGAAGGAAAGAGAGAAAGAGCAGACGGAGGGAAGGAAAAGAGAGGGCAGATAGAGGGAAGGAAAGAGAGGGCAGACGGAGGGAAGGAAAGAGAGAAAGAGCAGACGGAGGGAAGGAAAAGAGAGGGCAGATAGAGGGAAGGAAAGAGAGGGCAGACGGAGGGAAGGAAAGAGAGAAAGAGCAGACGGAGGGAAGGAAAAGAGAGGGCAGATAGAGGGAAGGAAAGAGAGGGCAGACGGAGGGAAGGAAAGAGAGAAAGAGCAGACGGAGGGAAGGAAAAGAGAGGGCAGATAGAGGGAAGGAAAGAGAGGGC